TCTCGGGGGGGGGTCCTCCAGAGGCTGGGGCCGAGCCCGGCGGAGTCCTGGGGGTCCCTCGGTTTCTCTGTCAACCCTCGACGTCCCCCTTTGGGTGGGCCCTGGAGAGGGCGAGGCTGCTGGGTCTCTGTGCGCGCGCGTGTGTGTGCGTGCACAAGCACAGAGGGAGAGGGTCCAGGGCAGAATCCGGGGGGGGAAGAGAGTCTCCCCTTAGGGCTGGGGTGCCCGGGCTCTCCCCCCCCTCCTCAAGCCAGGCTATGGCTGCTCATCATCCCCCCCTCGCCTCTCAAGGAAGGTGTTTCGGGAGAAGGGCCGGCGCTCCTCGGGTTCCCCCTTTCCGGAGGGTCTCCTCCAGCCGGAGCCGCTCCCTCTCCGAGCAGCCGCCGCCTCGACGCCTCCGTCTGTCCGTCCGTCGGGCCCATTCCTGGTCTGGCCNCGGGGGGGGGGGAACACAGGGGATCACACGACCCCCCCCTTCTCAAAATTACAGCAGCTCCACTGGATGCCCATCCGTTTCCAGGCACAATTCAAAGTGATGGTTTTGACCTCTAAAGCCCTACCTAGACGGCCTCAAAGACGGTCCCTCCCCCTGATGATGAGCCTCCTCCTCGGGTGTCCCTTCAGCTCATCAGTCAGAGGCGGCCTTTCTCTCGGTCCCTCCACCTTCGCAGGTGCATCTGATGGGGACCCGGGAAAGGGCCTTCTCAGTGGCTGCTCCTTTAGACTCTGGAACTCCCTCCCACTGGAGGCCAGACCCGCCCCCCTCTTGGCTCTCCTTCCGCAAGCAGGCAAAGAAGACCTTTCTCTCCCGGCAAGCCTTCCCTCTGGTTGCCTGAGTGGGTTGTTTTTTTTAAAAAAAGATGGTTGTACCTCGCTGCTTTGCATGTGTTTTGGTGTTGCTTATGTTTTCTGTATGGTAACTGCTTGATCCTTTCCAGTGTCTGTACCCTCCCTGTAGTTAGTATCTCTACACGGTCTTTTAATGATAGAAGCTGCTCTGGATCCTTTCAAGGAGGAAGGTGGAGTAAAAATACTTTTAACAGCAACAGCATCCACGCAAGGACCAGGGCAAAGGCACAACGCTTTATTTTCAGAAACAGAGAGAGAACTGAAGGATAACTGAGCCGTTTTTCCTAAGCCACAACTTCTGCAC